GGGTCGGTTATCGCTTTCGGAAGAATTGGCCCTTAGTCGAGTGCCGTCGTGCCTTGCAACACCGAGGTCACCGTAGGCTACGGCAGATACCCGCTGTTCGCGGCTTCGATTTCTGGTCTGGTGCTCAGCGATGAGCATTTGTGATACAGAGAGGTCTGCAGCTTCTTCGGCCCTTCGTCGGATATCTGCGAGTGCTTGGACGTCTCCACGAGCGCGTGCCTCTCTTCGCGCTTGCCGGCGTGCTTCTCGATCCGTTGCTTCGATACGTCGTGCCAGTCGTATTTGGTATAGGGATTCCATCTCCTCTTCTCGTTGTCTCTCTTCCTCGTCTAGTGTCTCTGGGAGCTCAACGACCGTGTCGACGCCCGCGCGCTCACCCTCGCGAGCCAATACCCTCTCATTCTCCCGTGCGGCGGAAGAGTAGGCGGGCAGCGTCATAACACTGCGAATCGACGTGTTCCTGTCAACCCCAGCTGCCGTGGTGCTGTTCATCTGCCTCTCAGGATCCCCAGCCGCAGCTCCGCTCATCTCACCACTTGCCCTACTTGTACTGCCCCGGTATTCCGTGTCTTGTAGACTCGTCGAGTAGTCATTTCGGCGCGGGCGCTTGCGGAACGCCTTCCAGGAGAATAACGAAGGTAGTTTGTCGTTGGACGACTGTTGTGCTTTCTTTGCGGCGCGATATGGTGCTCGGAACTTGAGGGTCGAGAAGTATGTGATGATGAGTATAACCAAGATGGCAACGGCGATGACTCCAACCTAGGCAATCAGGGTCAGTCAGGGCTCCAGGGTAACACGGAAGGGTTGCACGCGGAAAACTTACAACAACAAAGGTCCTGCCTTGCTTGGAGATCTCTCTCCGCTCCAACGCGCCTTCCCTTGCATGCCGCGCAGGTAACAACATGATACCAAAACAACCATACACCAGTTATGTCAAACGTCAAATGCTTCAACCAAAGGATGTTGCCGAAGCCTTGTTTTCACAATGAGATCACTTGTTTGGACAAAGGTGGATCGCCCAAGCTTCGGAAGGCCCGCGTTCTTGGTTACTGTTTCGCACTAGGAGCTGTCGAACCGTTGCGTCGAAACGTCTAAGCAGGCGGCGGCGGCGGCAGCGGCAGCGGCGGTGAGCGAGTCGTAGATGTGGTTAGGATATTGGGGATCGGTGTCAGGTGTATAGTCTGGGAATAACTAGACGACTGACAACAATGGGGGGAAAGCCGCGAGTGATGTTCTGGCTAGGCCTGCGCCCGGATGCTTGCCTTGGCAGCTGAGGGTTAATGCGGATGCTGGGATGATGGGGAGCAGTGACTAGGGGCTCTGTGGCTGGGGAGGCGGCGACTGCGAGCGCAAATAGACATTAAATCTACAGTAAAGTGTAGCACGGCAACACTGTAATAATTCAGCCTCTAGCGATCTCCCAACGGTTTTGTACCATAGCCGCTAGGCTCCTCACCTCAGCGGTTGAGGCAAAAGCAAGAGCTCATGTCATCTCCAGAAACCTGCTACTATTTTAGGGTCTCTCCCAGATTCAAGGATACGCTAGCGCCGGGCACTGATTGGAGCTCGTACTGCACAATGATCGCATTCACATGCTTGATCTACAAGAGTGGCACAGGCGACGCTGGTCGTAATAGTGGCCGTAAATTATTCAAAAGGGTATATGCTTCGATCTCCAAAGTCGTCAATGACTACGCTGGCTGGCAAAACTCAAGTTAGATACAAGAACTGGCGCACTGACACTATACTAGAACTTCTTATCCAGCTTTTTCAAGAAACTGCCAATACCCTTCTCCACTTTATCTACCCGTTTTCCGATGTTCGAGTTGCGTTGCGGCGCGTTGGGGTTCTCGTGATCTTGCACCGCGGCTTCAGTCTCCGTTGGTCTGTAAAACTGTTGATGCAAATTTTGTCCTTGAGGTTGAGCTGTTGTGCTACCATACTGATATTGTGCATAGCCCGGGGATGCCATTGGTTGATATTGCTGAGGAGGAAATCCAGGAGACGGTACAGCAGAATGCGCAGGCGGCGATTGGGGGGCAGGCGGAAATCCGGGCGAGTTCGGGTAGTTGGCGTACTGCTGAACTGGCATGGTGGATGTTCGCTTCATGGCGGGAGGTGGCGGGGTATGGCCATTGTATTGGCCTGGTGGAAGCGCAGATGGAGGTGGTGCAAACGACGGCGGACTTTGTGGTGCACTCGGCACTGACCCCGCCGTGTTTGTACGGTGCACACTCGGTGGACCAGTAAAGCCCTGGCCTGGCGCTGGTGGTCCTGGAAAGTACGATCCTGATGTCGGCTGGGGCGCAAATGAAGCTTGTAGTGGGTTGCTGTATTGTGCGGCATGCTGATCGTGTACAGCGGCAGACCCAAGACCAGTGCCGTCGTTTGCGTCTGGCGGTGGTGGTGTCTTTTCACGATGCGCGATAGGCTCTGGCGCGGCTGGAGCTGCCGGATTGTATGCCATTGGAGCGTAGTTGGGCGGCTGCTCGCTGGGAGGGGGTGATGTTGGTGCGGGTGCGGTAGGAGGGCCAGGGAATGACTGCGTTGTACTGACACTCGGAGTCCGACTAGTGTGTGATATGGCTGCACTCTCCAGCCTCGCGATGACAGGACTCAGGGCATCATTCTTATGTTCCGAGTGCGTTGGGGTGGCATTAGGGTTGCGCGTAATCTGCAGTTGGTGCGGTTGTAGCACTCTCCGAATAGAGTCAAGAAAGAGGCTCGCATCTTCTGGTGTCCAAAAATACAAATCTACCGTGTGCAGCCTGTACATGTATTTGCCCTGGTTCGAGGGATCGGGTGTGGGAAGATGCCACTGTGACGTGTCATGATGCGGACTCGCGTTGCCGATGTGACTCTGGAAGGCATCGACCGTGAGGGTGAACAAGCACGGGTGCTTGTATGTTTGCTCAATCTTGATGGTGTCCAGCTGACCGGCAAAGGCATCCTGGTTGGGTGTGCCCGCATGGTTCGCTACTTCTATGCGCCCACTCTGGCGCATGGGATTGTGGTAAAGGTAGACATAGGAGCCTTTGTCGAAGCGATGATGTGGGGGTTGCTGGGTAGGTGGGGAGATGTAGTAATGGACGTCTGCAAAGCTGTCTAAATGTCAGTACAGCTTCGAGGCCCAAGCATATCTTACTACTTACAGCGTCAAGAGGGACACTTCACCCTGCTGTGGAGGCATTGTGTTAGTGTACGATGATGGTCTATCGGGCGTCCAAGATGTCTGACAGCCCAAGATGTCCCAGGATGTGGAGACGCTGTAGAGAAGTAGTAAGACGAACAGTTAGTACTCTTGGAGAATCATCAGGAGAGATCAAAGGCATATATAGGGTCGCAAGGCTGTCATATAAGCCGACGACAGCTCCGACCAACAGCTGCGCGGTCTTCTATTTGTGTCGTCCTCGAAGCGCCCGCCCATTAGTGTCGACTTTAGTAGGCGCCGGTCCAAGCTCTGCCGAATGGAGCGGGCAGTAGCGATCCACTCGTGACTTGCGGACCTCCGAGCCAATCCAGAAATTTGCTGCGTAGAGCATCCGCCGACGACACCACGCGCAATCATACCTGGAGGCTGCATCGAGCCTCACCGTTGATACTCGCTACCAGATACACGGTCGCTCTTATCATCACATCGGCCATCGCGCCCACCTGCTGCCGCAGCCCGTCGAGGGCAAATTCCCACCACCACTGCAGCCAATATGTCTCTCGTCAACCTCGCACATGTCTGCTCGCACATGCAGAACGCCTCCAAAGCTCGCCTTGGATTGACATCAATACCAGTCTCCAAGATGCACGTTAACATTGCGCTGGGTCTGCAACGCGAAGGCTTCCTCTCTTCAGTCACACTCGGCGGGCCAACACCACCAAAGCCCTTTCTCCTCCAGACACAGCAAGATCCCGAGCAACTAGACATAATGGCACAGAAGCTGAAGGAGGAGCCATGGCTTGCATACCCCATTGATGCATCAGCAGGCACTGGAGAGAAGGCACCACTAGGTCAAGAGCAGGTCCACGATATACATGTACCTCAGAACCCGGCGCGGAGACGGTTATGGCTTGGCCTAAAGTACTGGCAAAACGAGCCCGTATTGAAGAACATGAAGCTAGTTTCCAAGCCCACACGGCGGATATGGCTGACGAGCGAGGATTTGGGCAAGATCACGAGGACACGCGAATCGAGCTACGTAAAGGGACTGACGCATCCCGGAGAATGCATGTTCCTTACAACAGACCGAGGAATACTCGAGGCAAGAGAATGTGTGGAGCGACAGTTGGGTGGTATGGCGCTTTGCAGAGTGTGGTAGTGGAAGAAGGCTGCATATACGGTTATGGACTGTATGACATTATTGTACCAGTATCATGATGGAGCGGAATTGCATCAATGGAGCTTGCATAGGAGTAACGCGCCATACGCAACTGTAGAATATCAACCCCAGTCACAACCAATTTTGACTTGACCTCTGCACGATCCTAGACCCTGAGTCTATCAGCGAAGAAACTTGGTCGAACACGTCGGTGCACTGGTACAGAGGTTGGACTGGAGGGGTGCAAAATCCAAGTGGATCCGAGTTAACGTTACCAGTCGTGTACAGCGAATATCCTGGTTCAAAAAAACTTCGCAACATGGACAGCCTGTCCACTAAGACAGCATTACCACACTCGGGCAGCAATACATTATTATTGTTGTTGTTGGTGGGGTCTGTTTGTTGACGTGTTCTGTCACGTTGCTTAGAGTGTAGACTTGCTCGCGACCATAGTTCTCATAAAGCAATTATCTACAGAGTCGTTCTAATTCCCGTGGTCCAGGGATGTATTCTCATACCAATGTCGTAACCATTTCGCTTCCATATCATCTCAATACACACGCCAATGCTTTCAAATATTGGCGCAAGGGGGAATATGTCCAAAGAAATTCGTAATTCTGACCATAGCCAGTGCCAGATGCTCCAAACCCAACTCCGATATCCCGTCATTATTTGACATGTCCCATAAGCTTAGACATAGCTGCGTCGGCTCCGACTGTGGCTCTGGTGCGAGTAGCGAGGGCTGCGGGAGCGGTGGCCGTGACGGGAGCGGTGGACTTCGCGCTTCACAACGACTCGGTCATTACGGTGGTGACGGTGCACAAGTAGAGCCAATATGGCAGTGATGAAGAAGAAAATGATGTTCCTGCACAGGATTAGATTCGTGTTTGCTTCCAACCTTTTCTGAAATTGAACTTACATGATTCCGAAAGCCCATGAAGCCTTGAGCATGGCGCATTGGCGGTCGATGTTGAACCCCCACCTGTCTCCACTGACCGTGAATAAACCAAGATCAGCGCTGTAGGAACCATTCCTTTCCCAGTTGGAGCAATCAGCATCAGCAATCCCTCGGAGAGCATAGACGGCTCCGATAAAGGCGCCCATGAAAAGAAGGTCGATGAAAGCCACGAATTTGGCAGAGTGTTTCGCGCGCGTGTAGAGGAAGAGGGTGCCTATAGCCCATGCTGCGCCGAGCACCGATACGATGAATAGGACGAGGATTGACGTTGGTGTGAGGAGGCCGCGGCTGTTGTACCAGTCGACGAACCAGGCGAGCATGCCCAGGCACGGGATCAAGGTGATGATCTGGAAGACGCGCCAAAAGATGAAGGATAGTCCGGAGAACGACATGATGGCAGTTGGCAGGATCGCAAAAGTGCTTCGAGAGAAGAGGTGTTTGCTTTGGTCGAGCTGTCAGCTGAACCACGGTCGGTTAATGCCGTGTAACGAAGCAGGTGCGATGCGACAAGAGAGATGCAGGACGACGACAAGCCGCCGAAAAAAATGCAGGGCAGCGCGCTTTTAAGATCTTGCAGTGATAGGACGGACCAGGATGCGTCTTGTTTTGCGATCGGGTTGCAGAATGGTCGCGGTGTTGCAAGGTGACGTATTGAGCATGGAAACCGGGATGTATACTTTAAAGTGGGATGCCTACTCGGGTGGTGGGTATGGTGAAGGCGGGGGAGGCTGGTACTTTGTGGCTGGATCGTGCCTTCCTCATTTCTAGCCAACCAAACCGCCAAAAAACGCGACGGACAGACCACACCCTCAAACACGACCTGCACCGGCGGCAGAACTGGTTTTCGACTATTAAAATGTGTTCGCATCCTGCCATGCCTCGACGCTCGCGGCTCGATACTCGACGCGCATTAGTGGCATCGCGTGGAACAGCAACACACACGCCGTAGCTGAGCGTGGGTCTGGACAGCTGTCGGCGCCCAACCCGCTCCCATCAGCCTAGACGGCATGTGGGCGTCGCCATCATTCGTGGATCCTCGCAGAACCGCCGAGCAAGCGGCCGTTGAGCCTGCACTCACCTGGCCCTGAAATTCGACCCGACCAGACGTCTTTGCGCTCATCACCCAGAGCCTTGGGCCCAAGCTCCCCAATGCAAGGGCTACCTTGCGTGAATCCGGACGTTATGGAGAAGCACCGTGGAGCTCCTTCGACGTCAAATCTCACCTGCTCGCCTGTGCCGCTCTGCCTCAGCCCACAGTCTGCGCCTAAGGATTGTTTTTCATTTCGTGCTGCATGGTGATGGGATTGCTGACCGCCGAGAGGCACAAGAATCAGCCGGCCTTATCACAGCCTGCCATTCTCTACCATCCAAGCCATAACACTGGGGTCGCTATTGGTCTCCCCACCTGCGGATGCACCTCTTCTGCAAAAGGATTGCCATTGCACTGGGCCGCTCGCTTCGCGGATTAACCTGCAGCAACTCGGTAGGATGAGTCTCTTATCAGCAGCCAGACCGCATTCGACACACTGCCCTGTGCTCCGCATCCTGAGCGCCGGGACAAGCGGACATGGGTTTTTTTCGAGAATAGGTTCGATATATACGACCTGGTACCGCGAACGTGTCTGCCTTATTAACCCCTCGTGTTCTTTTCTGCGCGTGGTAGTTCCCATGTTGTTTTGATCGCATGAGCCTCAATGCCATCCCACACTCTTTCATCCGCTTGTTTCTAATCAATACCACCACATCATCGGCCGACGCCTTTGTTTCATTGTTGTTCCTGGATTCTTGCGGCAGGCATAGCATTTACCGAAATAGGCGAGAAAGCGGGCAACACGATACTCCAGAGCCAATCATATTGCCTCTTCCTGATTTTGTTCGAAGCTCAGTATAGAAAAACATCTCAAGTTCGATGCAAATATAGAACGATCTCCTTTGTCCAAACTTTACATCCGACCACCGACGAATCTATAGCTCTACCAACGACTCGAGCAAGATATGTCGGCACGAGGCGCGCGTAGTCGAAAGGTACAGCAGAAAGAAGTCGAGAAGAAAGAGAAGAAGGCGGTTGTAAAGGGAAAGGCTCCCGAACGGATACAGGAAAACCATGATGCGTTTACAGAGTGGCGTCCATCACCAAACTCTAGTAATCCCAGGAGTGGGATTCAACGCTCCCTTACAGTTTCCAGCAACAACAGTCATGCAACATCGCGAAGCAGTTCTACGCACGATGGTGGCAGCAGCAGTCGACCACGACTACATACTCTTCCATCCGACGTCTCTTCCGGAAGTCGACCTCCGCCAACGAATTCTTCTAGAGCCGAATCCGTATCAGACAACTCGGCAAAAGGCAAGGACAAGACAAAGTACCAGGCAAAAGGTAAAGATACAAAAGCTCCTCGCGGTAGAGGGGGAGGAGTGCCAATAAAGAAGAGCGTTGCACCGACGCCCACACCTCCTGTCTTTAGGTCTGAATCGTCCGCGTCCTACGCCTTTCCAACCGACCAGAAAACATGGCTGAACTTCAAGGTTTGGACGGATGGCAAAGATGGCATGCGCCCATATGGAGGGTTCGACTACGTAAGTTGTTAGTATGCATGAAGAAGCTAAATCCATCTGACGCAGTATTTCAGGATGAAGATATGCAGCACGGTAGTGTGCTTATCTATTTCAAAGAGGAGCAGGTAGACGAGGATCGCCCAGTTCCTTCGATCCGGGCTGATTTGGAGGTCCTTCAAAATTCAGGCTCCACTTGGCTGAGTAATGCCTTGTTGTACGGTCAAATAGATGATAACGACGTCGATGACTGGGCGCTTTCGGAGAGCGCAAGTTCACCATCGCAGCCTTTCTCCCCAAATTTTCCACAACCTACACAACGGCGGATGTTAGGTCCAACATCACCAGGCGGACGATCTCCGCCGCCTTTTGACATCGACCAGTCACATAGCATAGATTCTCGGACTACTTCTAGAGCCTATCATCCATCTGAAGCCTCCCATCGACACTACACCAATTCGCCACCTCCTTTTCAACAGAGTTTCCAACGCAACCCAACCCACGAGATATGGTTCACCGCGCCCGAAAACATAAGGACACCTCAGGGGCAGAGACTCCATCACGTTGCTATTCGTAATTTCCTGGCCATGTTGCATGGCAAACCTATAGTTGGAGCAGACGTGTATGACATGCTGAGTACACTGCAACCCCAGATACATATCATGTACGATCTTGACACGGACGCTCGATCTGGAATGACAGCTAGGGAACGTAGTGTCCAAATGATTACAGAATACCTTGGCCGATATGGTATCGATGACTTACGCAACAATGTTCGACGAGCTCTTGGGCTTTTGGCATGGGCAGAACAGGACACTATCAAGTGGCGACAAGGCTACCTCGAGAGCTTTGTACACTTAGCTGGTGTCATGACACCGGAAATAGAGGACCACCCGGATTTCAAACGCCTCTCTGTGGTCACAAGGCGGAACCTCGGTTTAGCTGCGAAGACATTGCAATTGCGCGTCATGGAAGCAGAGGAAAAACTGTCCAACTTCGACTTCAGTGATCTCTGGGAAGACACACTGAAAACTGCTAATAGCACAGTCTATCAGAGCTACCAGTCGTTTCGCCAGTTCCTTATTGGTCATTTCACCCGCATATACGGTAATTGGCCACCGACCTCCGACAAGACATGGCTTAATCGCAAGGTTGTGAACGCTATGCAAGAAGATTTTGGTTCTCTGTACGATTATTTCGTCGACCGAGACGTGATATGGAATCCTCGAGAAGAGCGAGCATCTCGTAAGTGGGAGATGGCTCATCGAAAAAATGACAATTTCAGTGCAGACTTGCCAGAGCTCGGTATGACGGATATGCTGGTCACCTACGATGCAAAGAACGGGTATGCACACATTCCACATCCGTACCCCTTACTTCCTAGAGAGGTACCAAAGACGGGCAAGGACAAGGAGAAAAAGAGCTTCTTCTCTTCACTGAAAAAGGATAAGCCCAAGGATACCACAAAGGACGCAAAAGCACAACTGCAGCTCTCCATTATCTTTAGCGATGCAACTAATATCGAGAAACTGGACGTTAACTTCAACGGTAATTGACAGAAAATGAACACTTGTCGGCCTGTGCTGACGTTTTCTTAGGATCTACGCTTATTGACAAGTTCGAACAGTTCGAGCTCACCACCGACTTGAAACACATGACACCGCGCGAAGCACGTCTAGGACGTTGGGTGCTTCTGTACGGCGTGCTGCAGGTCTTGTCAACCCTATCTGTCGACGTCCAAAGTCTGAAGCACACGGACGGCGTGCGATACTTCCTGAACACCGATCTCAAGCGCATGCCTGAGTGGGTAAGCAACGGTCAGATAGAGCATCTAGAAGCTAGGCAGCAACGATCTTGGTGTTGGCAGCGCGCATGGGATCCAATGCCTGCGCAATCTGCGCCTGTAGAGCTCGATGCAACACCGAACAGCGAACGTACGAGCCACCATGAAGATGCACGACACGCTGAGATAGCAGGTCATAACTTTCCCAGTCCACCACCGCAACATGCACTCCCTCCCCCACCGCAGCACGCACTTCCTCCACCCCCACCAAGTCTCGACGGCGCAACACTGATGCAGAACGACATCCGCCGCCTAGGAGAGAAAATCAACAACCTCCACCTCTCTCACAACGCTGGCAATCATTTCCGTCAAGAATTCGAACGCCGCCGCGAAAACGAGAAAGTCATACAAGACGAATTCACCGATCGCAAACCACGTTTACAAGGCGAGACGTTCGGGCCTCGAGCAGCTCGCGACAGAAATACTGACAATACCTTCAACCCGCGAATGGATTCTCTCCCACGTTCCCGCGACCGCGATGCGCCACCCAGAAGCCAATCGCGCATGGACGACAGCTTTCGCCTCACAGAATCCGACTTCTCGCCGCATGCCCACACCAACGATTTCATCGACCGTCAGCAAGCCTCCCTCTTACCACCTGCACTCCACTCGGGTCTCCACAGTCATACGAACAGTCTGAATACCGATCTGGGCGCTTACCCCTTCAACGTGAGTGAAAATGAGATGCAGTGGCCGGTTCCCCCAGGGTACAATGAAAGCAATCATTCGTGGAGGGAAGGGAGGGAGAGCACAGTGCTAGGGGAAGGATATGGAGCCATGGACTTTGGTATGAGGGATGGTGTAGATGAGGGCAGGAATGAAGGGATGCAGGGCACGGGGATGAGAAGGACACCTAGAAGGGTGCATGAGAGAAGTGGGTGGGATTAGTGTGGACTTGGTAGGAAGGCGGAAGTTGGCATGCGCGTGGATTTTTAATTGAATATACCCTCTTATTTTCATTTGTGTTCTTTCTTGGATTAGCAAAGGAGAACAAAA